CAGAAAAAAATGTTTAGAAAACATTGAAAGAACTATATTCCTAAGTATCCTTTCAGCCCTAAAACACAACCATGCCATCAAAAACTGTCTACATTCAATGGGAATAAAACCCTAACCCTAGCTTCAGGTTTTGCTAGGTTAGGGCTCAAATATTTCTCAAAGACGTTTCACAATATTCCACTTATTTCCACTCCACATCAGGGCTTGTAAGTATTACAGTAACGATAAATCCAATTAATTGATTTAACATTTATTCATGGATTTTGATATTTTATTTGCCTAAAAGGTATTTGAAATTGAAATCATTTTAGAATTTTGCAATACCTCATAATAAAAGCAACATCCTTAAGAAATGTCTAAATGTTTAATGTAAATATCATACGTATAACACTATTCAATCTGCCCATCGTGTTACATTCACACACCCCAAAATACAATTCCCACAAACCTTTTCCTTTCTTGGTTCAGTGTCTTCCGAGTTACTGCGGAACTTTAAACAACAATCCAGTCGGTTTTCGAAAGGGGAGCGTTTTGTTTGACGGACCATCGATTTACAATACGTGACCTTACAGGATGCTGCGTGCTTTAGTGTTTTTTTGCAGTTTTTGAAATATAACTATAGTTTACGAAATGGCTTTATACAGAATGTGGAATTCGTCGACAGTGCGGTGTATATACAGGTAAATACATTTTACGATAACATCAAATTAGAAGTAGCAGAAAATGGAAGTATTTTATACCAGTGTCAGAATAGTGTAGCATAATACGAATAAAAATAAAAATAGCACTGAATTTAAAATATGTATTGATGTATTTAACCAGATAAGACGTGTCTCATTGTTAATAAGGAGAAGAGATTGTACAGTAGGACATTTGCTGGAGCAATTTGAGTGAAACAATGTCCCGGTGTTGTACAAATCCTGACCTAGTACTTATTTATGCAGTTTTGAAAGTCTTGCTGCTAGGTTAAACATCACTCTGTAACACTTGTGCTGACTAAATTGGTTTTCTAAGTACTGTACTTGTAAAAAAAAACAAACTAGTTCTATTAAATGACAGTTTGATAAAAGTCGGATTTTACAAGCCGTTGACTCTTATATGTAAACCAAATTTAACTTGTAAAGGTTTTTGTTATTTCATTCTGGAGTCTGTATAATGAAACAGTATGCAAACTAAGTTTGGTATACTTGCTGTTGTCTTCGTCATTAACATTTTTTCAATACCCTGCGGCTTGCAAAACCTGGAGTGATCTCCAAAGGCACATCTGATGTTCACTGCTGGTATAAAAAGAACACTTCACCTTGGACACTTTTCCAAATGGCTCAGTCACGGTTTTTTGCATTATTAGGCCTTCAACAGTATATTTTCCTCCTCATGTACATGTGCCATACTCAAGTACCATAACCTGTCTGTGTTTTGCTCATAGCTTTCTCCAAGAAGGAGGCACCTCCAGGTCCTTGCCTGCTTCATGTGCTTTTCACTCAAGTTGCAATCTACAGAACTCCAACAGAACCTCCATAGTACAGTATGGAAGGCAGAGCTATGGAAGAATGTACCCTGTGTTAGTGGTGAGATGTGATGGCTCCACAGTCAACATCAGATACAAGGAGCCCAAGAGGATTCTGACAGTAAGCAAGATTGACAGTTTTCAGATTGAGCCTGTTGTTTGTTTTGTTTGTTCACACCAAGTCCTGGTGTGATTTGATCTTAGAGAACATTTTAACACCTAAAAATATCTTTTGATATTTGAGATAGTCAGTTTCAGTGCAGTTTTAACCCAGTTCACTGGTGCAGCTTCTGTCTTTGGACCAGTAATGCAGTGCATTATCAGTGAAAATAATTGTTCGATTTGCTGGTTAATAATCTTGCATTGAAATAGCAGAGAAATAAGTAAGATAACAGGTAGAAAAATGCTCGAGTTAATGAACAACAATAAAAAAAATGTTCAGGTGTGTTAGTATTATTGGGAATAGTGTTATTTATGTTTTATTCTCAGAAAAATGTTAAGATAATTTAGAGTTGTTTTCATTAGTTCCTTATGCTTTAGGATCTTTGTTTTGCAGTTTCCCTACAACCATAGTCAAGAATATTTATTTTTGCTGCCTGCTTTTAATCTGGGTATAGTTTAAGAAATGCACTCCATTTCAGATTGTAGAGGGGGGACATGTTCTTTATGTGAATATAGAAGGTGTGCAAAAGCAAGCACTCTTCCCAGTACCCCTTCCTTTCGAAAGTAATTTGGACTGTCCAACCATGGAGTGTCAGCGGAACAACTGATTCTGTCTTTCGTCTCTACAGTCTTTGTTGACCACACCCTCTGTTGCTGCTAAAACAGCTCACTATAGATTTGCTTGTATTGTCAGATGCCAGTGGACATCTCCACCCTTTCTGAAGAAGAGAGGAAAGCCAGGCTGCAGAAGAGGGATGCAAGGAGAGTGGAGGCTAAACCAGCCAAGGAGGAGATCAAGGACGACTTCAACGTGGACGATTACAGCAAGTTTTGGAAGAAGAAGTAGCAGCAGCTCTGTAAACAATGTTGAGACCTTGATTTGTGTGAAACTGCTTCACTGTTAAATATATGCTTATTTTTTAAGTTTGTTGTGATGTATTCGTTCTTTCTGAGTAAAAGGAAAGGAAACAACTGGATGTTTCCTATTCACTCCTTTCTTGAGGGAAGCATATTTGACATGTTAGGTTATACCCAAAAGGATTTCTCTTAGATATATGGTATTGAGCTTCAGCAACATGACTGGGTAGGCTGTTTGATATTCCCAAAAGCCTTTGTGTAAAACTCCTGCTTTCAGTTTCAAATGCACCTCTGTGTAGTTTTCTCTTGAGTCGTCTGATTTGTGTTTCACCGTTGGTTTGGATGTCCACTTGGATGACTTTGTTAGTCCCTTTGAGGATTATTAATACTTTGATCATGCACCCTTGTAGTCTTCTCAGTTCATTATTAAAAAGTAAAATTTTTTTGGTCTGTCAAAGTAAAGCATACCTTTAATCCACAGGAGAGCTATTTGTTACATTCCTGGGTTTAATTTTAAAGCAGCAATAAGTTCTTTGGGAAGTGATGACTTTCGTTTCACACAATATTCTAAATGAGGTCTTGAAAATTTATTATACAACTGCCCTTGATTTAGGTTCCACATTTTTAACTGAATATCCCAACATTTTAAGTGCTTACCTAGATGTACATTAAATAATCTTATCAGCATACACTCCTGAATAACAAGTTCCTCATCTTTCTAAATAACAAAGTAGCTTAACTGCCTGTCTTTAAAGAGTCATGTATCTGTTTACCACTTTATATTTCCTTTTTATTTTAATTCAATCGTCACTTAAAGGAGGTAAACATTCCTTGATTGCGGTTTTGAGAATAACAAGTGTTACTTTTAAAAAATACACGTCGTACTCCAGGGCTTAATTTGTTCACATCATGAACTGCAAAATGTCTTGTGTGAATTTTTGAATCTTTTCTGTTGCCTTTTTTTTTGTATATTTTAAATCTAATTATTTTGGTTCTTTTCTTCTGATCCTCAGAAAGTTAGGGTTTTGTGAAAATACTCAAGAATGATTCCCCTTTAGAAAGTTTATTATTATATTATTGCTACTATGATCATTAAAACTCGGCACAACAGTATGATAGGTAGTTATTATGTGATCTAGGTTTTCCAGGGCAGAAAATAATTTCAGAGAAACAATATTTTTTTTCTGAACATGGGAACATACAGTATTTAGAATCGAATCTTGGGAAAGGTGATACCTCGAGTACTGGAATGGGTCTTTCTAATTTCATGACATGTATTGGTATTCAAGGATTAAATTCAGAGGGACGGTTTAGCTAAGGTGGCTCAAATGAATTAGTCTGATTTATCAGATGCTATTGGGACATGTAGGCCCCTCGAGAAAATTGTTACTCTGCCCCTAAGTCTTTTTCTCATACCATAAATTAAATTTTGCTGTTAATAGATTGCCCTGACCTGTCCCTGTGCTTTCCTGACTAACGGGGACAAGTTTATAAATGATCAGTGAAGAGGATTTTCACCACCTTTTACAGTAAACAGGTTAATCATTAAAGCACATTGGAATTGTGCCTCAAAGTTCACAGTAAACACGTTCAGCTGGCTTCTACAATGACTCCGGGAGCTGTTTTTTCCTCTGCCACTCCAACCCCAGAAACAAACAAAACATTTGCCTTGGAGATCCCGGATATTATAGTTGTTATTGTCTATTTTGTCTTTGTTATTGTTGTTGGAATATGGGTAAGTAAAGCCAGACCACTACGTACAGTATGTGTTTATCTCACACTGGGTCTGGAGTCCCATTATGGACTTCTGCTTTTTATATTCCAGTGCAGTTTTCAATTGAACTGAGATCATAATATAATAAATTACATAATATATTCAATATTTAAAACTTTACAGTACTTTACAGTTCTTTTTCAGGTCTTAAAGGGGTGGATATCTCAGGATACATTAAAAGTTCCAAAATGATAAAAAAATCCAAATTATTGCTTCATTTAAAGTTTATTATATAAATACTTTGTGAATATGTATGAAATCCTTGCTTCCACTGAAAAGCAGATAAAGAGTTGATGGTTTTGTCCCTGTTTTTAGAAGCCGATCATGTTTTTAGAGTGCAAAGAAACTTATGTACTTATTAAAGTCTAAGTAAATGAATGGATTTGCTTATTCAGCATCGTGACAGTGTATTTCTAAGAGTAAACAGTCATTTTACAGTTGATGAATGGGTGACCTTATTAATCAAACTGCTATCCTTAAGACAAAATCTAATTTTGCATCTCAATATCTGTGTATGCTTTTGTACACTTTTTGGCTTTCAATTGTTTAGGTAAGTTTTCTCTAAACATAGTTCTAAAATTTTGGAGTTTTTTATTTTGTCTTTGATTAATGTTTAAAGTTAATGTTTACCTACGGCGCATGTAACAGGATCAGGTATATGAGAGTTTGATTTTACCAAAAAGAAAAAAGTAAATCTCCAGGTTTTGAAGAAACATCTGTTAGTCTGATATAATTCTAATTTAGGGTTGGAGGGTTATAATTCTAACCCTTGAGCCTTAGGGGCTACAAAGATGCTCATTATTCTGGCCATGTGCCATTATAATGAAAATGAATAAAGCAGCATTTCTAATAATATGGTGACCTAAAAATATGGATTTTTCAGTCAAGCATGAATGCTTTTTTTTTGCTAGTAGAAAAGTAAGATTAATCATTACTTTTGGCAGAAATGGAAAAATACCCTCTCATTCAAACAGCCCATGTGACAGTTAATATTAACTATCTTGCTGTAGTAATCTCCATTCTCTACTTCTTTGCAGTCATCAATCAGAGCCAACCGGGGAACAGTTGGGGGCTACTTCCTGGCTGGGAGATCAATGACATGGTGGCCAGTGAGTTTTCCTATTGAATATATTAATTATACACGCTATACTGTATGTTTAACAATATTATCTACTGTTATGAGCATGAGGTTACTCAGTGTTTTACACTTTAATAGTGTAACACTTTTAAATAGTTGTGTTCTCAGTTTTAGATGGTTTTTATCATAGGTTGGGCTGACCTGGTGTACTCATGATGAATGATTAAACAAAGTAATGTTACACATTAAAGGGTTCAAATACACCTATCAATGCAATATTAAATACCTTTACTTCCTTGTCAGGATTCCTCAAAGATTTAATACAATTTGGTTGTGCAGTCTGGAGGGCATTTTTAATTTATTTATAAATGTAAACGTGCATGTCTCTTCAAATGTGAAACACTTGCACATCTAGGAATCCTGACAGGACATTATATTTAATATTATAATGACAGCTGTATCTCAAGCTCTTTTTGAATTCCTGCCTTGTTCATCCTCATTCAGCCTTAGAGCTCTTCATCTTTGCTCCCAGACAGCTATTCTTTGAGGTGCCCTTTCCGTTTTTCACTGAGGATCTCCCTGCTCTTAGAGGAGGCTTATCTATTTGCCACTGCTTGGTTAAGCAGAATATATATTTGATGGCAAGATGGAGCCTCTAAAGTACTAGCTTCCTGAGGACATGACAGGTCATCATATACTTACACACACACACAATAATTAATTTAATTAGGTTTTGATATGAGGTGGAAGAACCTTGAAACTCTCATGGTTTTCTTCATGAGTGACATATTTGTAGATTTATGTACGTTCCTCAGTAACAAAAAAAGAAATGTTTGTTTTTAGGGGAAAAACCCTTTTCAGCATGCTGTACATTTTAAAGTCAGCTTTTTGCACACATGTAGAGCTGTAGGTATTCATCCCCAGTGGTCTCACAGAGTGTGATCAGAGTGGAAGCAGAAGTGTCAGCAATCTTCCTGTCCTTGTGCTCATGTTCAGATTGGTGCCTCCCTGATGTCCAGCAATGTGGGCAGTGGACTGTTTGTTGGCCTGGCAGGCACTGGGGCAGCAGGAGGCATTGCTGTGGGCGGCTTTGAGTGGAATGTGAGTACTGTTGTGCCAGAGGACTGGAAGCTGTCTCCCAAAATTTGATATGCCAATCAATACTCTATGTAAAGCAGCATACATAAGTAAATTTAGTTGGTGATGCCGATAAGAAACTATCTTGAGTTTTGCCTCGGATTTTATCCTTTTGATAAAATGATAAAACTTAAGATGTACATACCAACAAGGGACACACAAGCACACATGCATTCTTACATGGAAATATTGGTGCCACAGTGATACGAGTCAACTTAAATTCTATTGAAAACTGGCATACGGCTCTCTATGAATATTTGTCTAAATACAGTAAGTGTTTTGTGGTTCTCAAAGAGAAGGCCGGTAACTATGAATCCACAGACAGTCTCACATGTGCTTAAAAAGATCCTAATGGATGTATGATTATGGGTTGCTCAGGAAGGAAACAGATGTTTTTCTTTTTTACCAGGCAGCTTGGGTGCTCATTGCTCTGGGCTGGATCTTTGTGCCTGTGTACATCTCTGCTGGTGTGATCACCATGCCTGAGTACCTGAGAAAGCGGTTTGGGGGTCAGAGGATTCGCATCTATATGTCTGTCCTCTCCCTCATTTTGTACATTTTCACCAAGATCTCGGTAAGTTTGGAAAGTTCTGTTGATCTGTCTCATAGACATGCCCTGGTTTCCGAAAGCTAGGGAATCATCTGCCTGACATGCAATGTCAGCAAGTGTTTTGAATTTCAGATGAGACAAAGATCAGTTTGTCACATCGGTGTTACATTATTGTGTCACAGACTTCACGCAGTTAGTGCCTCAAAGGAATAATCAACCAAATTCGGACTTTTTCACTCGCTTAAAATGAATGTGTCCCAGTCCTTGTGCTCACTTGAAATTTCTGGATTCAACACTAAGTTGCTTCTCCTGTCTGCGAGACACCTTTGTGTCCCCAGGTGTAATACTAATAGACACAGGTAATTTTTCATCCCCACCATAATATCTCTTTCAAACAATGTATTGTAGCTATTATCTCCCTTTTTTTGTTGGTAACATTTTGTCTGTCATTGTGTTATGTTTGGAGTGTGCTGTAAAACAAATTTCCCCAATGGAACAATAAAGCTTGAATTGAAAGTTCTAATAAGAACAGCCATGTATTTTTGGAATTACCCCAAAAATAATCATATTATTTTTGTGCTTATCATTCCTGCTAATCACATTATCACAAGTACATTTTTTTTGACTGTAAGGCATACATGACTGTTTAGACTTTGCTGTCCCCTATGTTGGGGGGCACAGTGTGAATATACAGTCTCCCTCCCCCAGGGTAGGCGAGCTTAATGGATGTGTAATCAGCCATTTGAGTGAGTGCCAAGTATTACCTAAGAAGAGATTATGTTATCACTTATTGATGTTTTGTCTCAGACAGACATCTTCTCAGGAGCCTTGTTCATCCGGGTCTCTTTGGGCTGGGACCTTTACCTCTCTACAGTAGTACTGCTTGTGGTGACCGCAGTGTACACCATTGCAGGTATTGTACACTTCTTCACTGCCCTGACAATTGAGACAATGGTTGCACAGGAATATTTACTACCACCAGTTTGCCTTCTGTTTCCAATTCAATACAATTACAGCTTCATATTCTGAACTGCAAGAGATCATGAACTGTGAATTTGGTTAGTGAATACATAATGAGAGAAACAGGTCAGAGTCCTGTATTACCTATAAACAGCTGTTATTGTAAAGTACTGAAGCAGTGAAGGATCTTTCAATGTCTAGGAAATACACTGGAATAAAAGTAAGGACCATGATAGCTGACATTCTCTGAAGAAATATTACGAGATTTCATTTCTTCCACAGAGAAAACCGGCAAACAAATGCCAAACTAATGATGAAATCTGCTGGTGATTTATTCTAAAATATTGTATAAACACACTATTTTGGGATTTCACATATTGTTTTGAAAAAAAAGCTGAAGAAGTTTTGCGCTGGAGTCATAATCTTAATAATATATTTACAGGGTTTCTTTTCACTATCACATTACAATCATGTATATACATATGGTATACAATAGAGACAGCAGCTTACTAAGATGAAGATAAACTATAGGTGATGAATCATAATATGACATTACATTGATAAGCAATCATATATTGTACTGATGATAGCAAATTTTGATGTATGAGATGACAACACAAATAATAGTTACAAAGGAAAAACCTTAATACCTGACTGTAACTCTTCTAACTTCCATCTTTAAACCGCTTCATCTGATTTGGAGTATTCAGGGAGCCAGAACCTATTCCAGCGATAAATGGGCACAAGGGGAATACACCATGAAGAGGACATGAAGAGGACACCACTCCATCACAGGGCACACAGAGACACACACACCAGGGCCAGTATTCCCAGAAGCCAATTAATCTACCAGTACATTTTTGGACTTTAGGAAGAAACTAGAGTACCCAGCAAAAACCCATACAGCATGGGGAGAACATACACACTCCACACTGATAGCGCTCCAGGAATTGAAACTTGGGCCTTAGGACTGTAAGATAGTAACTCTTGACTGTTCTGCCACCCTCTGCATAATATATCCTATTCCATGTCAGAATAAGTGAGCTCTGCTATGGCTTGGTACTCTAACTTCTAAAAGTTAATTAAAACAGAATTGGGTTCAGAGAGATACCACATATGGACCAAGAGTAGTAAGGACATGTAAAAAGCAAAGAACTGTCTGCCTAATAGCAACTAAATGAGGCTAAATGGGTCAACTGACTTAATCTTGTTTGCAATTTTCACAAATTCACACTGAAACCAACATAATTTTAAGATATTAATGCATCTGTATCTGCAGGTGGGCTGGCAGCAGTGATCTATACAGATGCTTTGCAGACCGTCATCATGGTGGTAGGGGCATTTGCCCTGATGTTCATAGGTATATGATTCTTTCTTCTTTCTTTTTGGTTTGAGCTAAAAAGCTACAGAAAATTACATGATGTGCTATCTAGAGTTAATACATACTTTAAGTGTACATACTGCTGTGTTTCTGTAACTATTCTGCATCTCCGCTATGCATTCATAATGTGTAGAGATACTTTGAAAAAATGGAGTTTTAGACAGACCTTCATACCATGTTTGTTGTATGGTTTGTTAGTTGAAGTGTCGGTGTCCATATTATCACTACTGTTGGTTCACATGATTGAAAAAGCCCCCTGCCATATCTGACACACTCTGTGGTCATGACTTTGCAGTTTGGCAGATGAACAATGTGCTCTGTGAGGTTGAGCCCGGACACATAGTATGTCAAAATTCTTTCCGAACAATTACATTGCTTTTTAATGAAGATCAAATTGGCGTCTAAGGGGTTTAAAGTACGTGATATGTTATATGTGGTTTCCTTTGTTGTTTGGAGATGTTAGTACACATACTATATATTTCTGAAAAGCCCATAATGCACTGACTGATGCTTAATTTCTAAATTTGAATGGAGTGCATTTAAGAACCACTCTAAGTGTACTCTTAAGTGTACCGTGTCTCAAATTATCGTGAGACCTTAAGTAAGATACTGCCTCCCCATTCAGAATCAGGGATATTCAGAATCTTTCCGAAGTTCATCCTTCCTTTAATGCATGTCTCAATGACTACATCATCAACCTTTTAGTATTAGGAGCACTGTAGTCCCCTGTAATATTGGTATGAAAAAAAGATTATTTTCTCCATTAAGCAGTGCAATACTCAGGGGTGTTTCTTGCTGGGTTGTGCAGCAATCACTATCTACTTACCTTACCAGACCGTATTTAAAGCCGTGCTGAGAAAAATAAAAATAAAAATAAAGAGAATAACCTTCTTTCTGTTACCTAGATGAAGGCTCATTAATATATGAAGCTCACTTCTGATCTTTCCCTCTGACACAGCAACACAATACTTTATTTCCTTTTCTGCTGAGATATAAGAGTGTCAACCATTTCTGGAATAACATTTGTTTTGTTGCTGAAGATAAAGATTTCCTACTGGTTTTACAGTAGCATATGTTGCACTGTGGCTATGTCAGTCCCCAGTTAAACTGGAACTGCTTGTAATGCAAGAACAAACCAAGTATGTTCTATGTGGTGAATGTGAGCTACCTGGTGGAGATGTACATAATCATTTTCATACATGTGAATGGCATCATATAACTGAATATTCTGACATGCAATTTATCATAAATACATGACAGGCAATTATTTTACAGATTATATATGATAGAAATATAGGATATCTTTTATTACATCGAACAAACCCATTATCCGACTTGTAATACAATAGTATTAGGCAAATGGCTTCAGATGAATGGTCCAGTTCAGTCCACTCTTGTGCTGTGCCTCTCCAGGTTTTGAGAAGGTGGGCTGGTATGATGGACTGCTGGAGAAGTATGAGGTGGCCGTGCCCACTCTCACTGTGCCCAACGCCACCTGCCACCTGCCCCGTTCTGATGCTTTCCACATGTTCCGCGACCCACTAACAGGAGACCTGCCCTGGCCTGGCTTGGTGTTCGGGCTCACAGTCCTGGCAACATGGTGCTGGTGCACTGACCAGGTAATATCGCAAGGCTGTGCCTATGTGCCTTGCACCTCAGTGTTAACATTGATCATGACAATGTAGTTACTGATGTATCGTAGTAAGGTACTGAGGTGATTGAGCTGTACTTCCTGCTGGAGGAGCTGATTGAGCTGAGCTGAGTTCAAGCTGCAAACCAGAGGGACCTCCACTACATCTGCCAAGAGCTGAATTCCAGTGATCTTATATAGTCACCTGCCTTAGGTGTGGAATTTGAATTTGTTTATGAGCAATGAAGTATTTATGCAATTCAGGGCTCATGTGGAATGAAAGCCAGAGAATGTGAGGCTCTCAGAAATAGGATTTAAAACTCTGTTATAAATAACAGCAACCAAAACAAGATAATTTTATCTCAGGGTTTACAGGACATCTTGTCTGCTCTACCTTGCATTGTCAGTGAGTGTATACCAGTATGAAACATTCTGCTATGACACTCACAGATCAGGACAGAAGTGAAGCCAAGTCTTGTACTGAGGCCCTTGAGTAGCAGCATACTTCATCTTAGAATTTCCAGAGAGTCTGTCTCAGAAACTCATTTGCAACACTATATTTTTGCAAATATGATATAGCATATAGAATCATACTGACTATATATTAAAATATGTCGACATTTTTGCCCGGGTTTTTCAGCACATTATCAAAAGAGATATAACAGTCTCAGTTGTGTACAGAAGTGGAGCGTGTGCTTTAGAAGGACATTAAAACATAGCTGTATGTAAGACATCACTAGTGCTTCCAGTGACTGGGATTCTGCTGTGTCTGCCCCCTGTGTGCCTGTTCCAGGTGATAGTTCAGAGGTCCCTCTCTGCAAAGAACCTGTCCCATGCCAAAGGGGGCTCGGTGCTGGGAGGGTACCTGAAGGTCCTGCCCATGTTCTTCATTGTGATGCCAGGCATGATAAGCAGGGCACTCTTTCCAGGTGAGTGCTGGCAGAATTTTAATGTCCCCTAGTCCACGCCAGCCGGACTCTCAATCTCAATCAATAAAGAGTTTAAGCTACAGGGTAATGCATATAAGACAACCTAATAAGGACATTTCATGCTCTTTACCTTATTCTGAGCAATTTGGGAATGACAACCATGTGGATTTGTAGTACTATTAGAAATATAGAAAGGTTTTTGAAACCAATTTTGTACTGTATTTTGTACTCTAATAAAAATAATATGATAAACAGGGTAAATACAATTTTTGTCTTATGTGTCTATGAACAAAAGTGATTCAAGGAGAGTTTCATTCTCCTATAGCATGTTCATTTTATGGATGAAGTAATTCTAGAGAAAATTCAAATTGCAGGTAGCAGAGCCAGGATTAAAATAATTAATTTCCAGGCTAGAGGAGTAATTTTTCACACTGATAATGCATCCATCACTTCAAAATCATTAAGGCTCAAACAGTTACAAGACTTTGTATGTTCTGCATGAACACAGAATTGTGTAAGTAATACATTAGCAGCACTATCCCTTGAGCTGTGGACTATATTATAGCATTAACGAGCCTGGATTTACCTGCAGTGTGTGGTGCTTTTGAACCCCAGTGATTTTTGAGTTGACTGTTGCTTTCCCCCTGTCTGATGCCCTGTCTGATTTGCTATCTGTTAGATGAAGTGGCCTGTGTGGACCCTGAAGACTGTGAGAGAATCTGTGGAGCTAGGGTGGGCTGCTCAAACATTGCCTATCCCAAACTTGTGGTGGAGCTGATGCCAGTTGGTAAGACACACTGCAGGACTTACTTATGTCTTTGTCCTTTTAAAAGCTTAAGAACATGGCCATCATGTCCTGAAGTTGAGACTATAACCTGCACAGACTGCTCATACTGATCAGACTTTAGTACAATCCAGAGTGATTGCTAACGGTGTGTCCGTGAGTGCTGTTTTTCAGTGTGCTCAGTGAACTCCACTGTGTGCCTCTCACTCCAGGCATGAGGGGGCTGATGATTGCAGTGATGATGGCCGCCTTGATGAGCTCACTCACCTCCATCTTCAACAGTAGCAGCACTCTCTTCACCATGGACATCTGGATGCGCTTCCGCCCCCAGGCCTCTGAGCGAGAGCTCATGGTCGTGGGCAGGTACCCATAAATGCTCTGCCTGGAGAGTGTTAAGAGAGATAAGATGTTTCCAAAGAAGGCAACAAACAAAGAGAGCTGTTTGATCAAGGATCAAGGGAGCTGCTCTTCTAATCTTTGTGCAAGTTTTAGGGGGAAATGTTCTGACAACTCCAGAGGTCCCATTTATCTCTTGATCAGATTTTAAATAACTGCTGCTTCACTTGTTGCAGTAGCAATTACTTAAGGTGCCACACTGCTATTGTAATTTATTATACACAAAAGTGTTAGTACACCTATTGTTATTACTATTATTGTAGAATAGATAGTGGATGTTAGATAATAATAATAATAATAATAATAAACTTTATTTTATATAGCGCCTTTAAAGGTGGCTTCTCAAAGCGCTTTACAGGATGACAATAACAATAAATAAGAAGACTACAACAATAAATAAGAACATTTCACAAGACAGGACACAATTATATTTACAACAATACAACAATAACAATAGAGGAGACCGTGGAAGATGGTATTAAGAAGAGCAGAGGGGTGAAGAATGGAAGCAGTTAAGTAAAGGCTTTTCTGAAAAGGAGGGTTTTGAGTCTGGATTTGAAGGAGTTTAGAGAAGGTGACTCTCTAATATCCTTGGGCAAGGAGTTCCAGAGCTTGGGGGCATAGCAGGAGAAGGCCCTGTCGCCCATACAATGTAGACGGGCTTGGGGGACAGTAAGGAGGGCAGAATTTGAAGAGCGGAGGTTGCGAGGTGGGGAGTAGGGCGATAAAAGTTCAGACAGGTATTGAGGTGCCAAGCCATGTAAAGCCTTGTAGGTGAGCATGAGGATTTTAAAGTCTACGCGGAATTTGACCGGAAGCCAGTGCAAGGACTCCAGGATAGGAGTAATGTGAACACTTGCACTAGATCTGGTCAGGATTCTGGCTGCTGAATTTTGGACATACTGCAGCTTGTTCAGAGTAGATTTAGATACCCCAGGGAGCAGAGCATTGCAGTAGTCAATTCGAGAGAATACAAATATGTTGATCAGCTTTTCAGCCACAGTTAATGATAGCATAGGGCGTAGTCTTGCGATATTTCTAAGGTGAAAAAAAGATAGGGCTGCCCAGCTGGATGTTTGGGGGTCTGCCCATCTGGTTGGTTTGATCTCAGCCGTTGTGCTTCTGCAGGGTATTCATCTTGGTGCTGGTGGCCCTCAGTATCCTCTGGATTCCCATCATTCAGGCAGCCAACAGCGGAAAGCTGTTTGATTACATCCAGTCCATTACCAGCTACCTGGCACCACCCATCACTGCCCTTTTCATCATGGCTGTGTTCTGGAAACGTGTCAATGAGCCAGTGAGTGTGCCGGGCATCCAGGCCTCTTTTCTTAACGACCGATTTTAGAACACAAGAATGCTTTGAATAGTATTTTCATAATCATTGCTATCATAGGTTGCTTTGCCTAAAGGTATGAGACAGGGTCATAAATTAAAGAGATAGAAATACTGATGAGTCTAACACATTCTCCTTAAGTGATTAAAATTAGCTATAATAAAAAATCCAACTAGAATTTTAAATATGTTGTTCACATTGTCAGCTGTGCTATGAATCAGAGGCTCATAATTAGTCAAAATGGAAAAGCAAACCATATATACTCTGCCAGTTATGTCAGTCAGGTAATACAGGTGTCTTAGAATTAACAAAATTTCAGGGCCATGAAAAACATTTGGGTGCATTTGAATGAGCAGTTTTCCATATCAACCAACAAATCGGTCTAATTTTCTTTTTAATGTCCTTCATGCAAAGCAACCTTCATAAAGTGCTAAAAATTCAGATACAATGGTATCTACATAATGCAGAAAAGCAAACCATATATACTCTGCCAGTTATGTCAGTCAGGTAATACAGGTGTCTTAGAATTAACAAAATTTCAGGGCCATGAAAAACATTTGGGTGCATTTGAATGAGCAGTTTTCCATATCAACCAACAAATCGGTCTAATTTTCTTTTTAATGTCCTTCATGCAAAGCAACCTTCATAAAGTGCTAAAAATTCAGATACAATGGTATCTACATAATGCAGAAAAGCAAACCATATATACTCTGCCAGTTATGTCAGTCAGGTAATACAGGTGTCTTAGAATTAACAAAATTTCAGGGCCATGAAAAACATTTGGGTGGATTTGAATGAGCAGTTTTCCATATCAGCCAACAAATCAGTCTAATTTTCTTTTTAATGTCCTTCATGCAAAGCAACCTTCATAAAGTGAAAAAATTCAGATACAATGGTATCTACATAATGCAGAAAAAAACATAAAATGTAGATATATTAGAAAACAATAACAGCAGATAAATGGTTGCAAAAGTAATATTCCCAAAAACCCAGTCCAACAATTAACAATCCTGAATAACCATGATCCTTATTATTATTATTCACTAATTATTATATGGTTGGCATTGTTTAGACCTCTAAGGCTAAATTGTATATTTATATCTTTTTGATGGTTTAGTCTGATAGATATGCTTTGATGTATTATTCTGGACTAAGGGAATAACAACAGTGTGTTTTAAGGTATGCTTTCTATTGCACATCATGGTGTTTCCACAGACCAGGTCAGTAAAGCACAGTCAGCTAATGTTGAAACCTAAGGAAACCACAAGAGGCACTATGGCAGAATCATAATAAACGTGCAAACATTGCATGGTAAGCTTTACCAAATTAGTTATTATAAGTGAAAACCATTGATATTGTCTCCTTTTGGAGACCCTGAAAATCCAGTCTACCATACAATAAACAAGTGTGAATAATTTTCTGATTCTTCTAATTTCAACCTGGCTTGAAGGATGTACAGTAAATCCTGACTGAACTGCTGTGGTGTAAGACACTTATTCAGTGAACTGATATACATTACCTCTGCTTTTTGGGAACTGTGAACTCCAAATATCCTTCTGCCTGGTTACAGAAACAAAACCAAATTCACAAATTCTTAAACCTTTAAAGCAGGAACCACAAAACAGTTCATCCATTCAGGATACTACATTAAGATTCTCTGAAATAGTATCTACTTTACCTATTTGGTCCAGAACTATGTCCAAATTACTTAATTTAACAATATCATTTTTAGGATTATTTAGAAACCTGTGATTTAATGGTGACCAGCAGGCTTGGGAAACTCCAGGACCAGGGTTGGAGACCCCCGCTCTAAAGGGAGCAAATTATATTCTTTTTCAAGTTCCGTGGGATTAAAGTTGAGAATGAATTTACAAGCTTCATAGAGAAAAGTTATATCAAAGCCGAAACTCTGGTGTGTGTCACAGGTGATGTTTTTGGCCTTGCAATAATGAGGAACACATTTGCTTGAACCTGTCAGCTGACCCCTTTCCCTGGTACATTTGCTTGCAGGGAGCCTTCTGGGGCCTGATGGTGGGTCTGGTCATTGGATTGGTCAGGGTATTCTTGGAGTTCATGTATGGAGCTCCCCCCTGTGGTGAGAAGGACCAACGGCCTGCAATTGTGAAAGACATCCACTACCTGTACTTTGCCCTGATCCTTCTGGGTCTCACTGCCGTGGTCATCACTGTAGTGAGCCTTTGCACTCCTCCTATTCATGACCAGCATGTAAGTGAGTTCGAAAGAAGGTCAGATAACACTTTAGATCAGGGGCTGGAAATTCAGTTTGTAAATTCTTTTTGACATCTTATGTATTAACTGAACATTAACACAGTGTTAATATCCTGATAGAAACTGCCATCTAATAATGAATCATTAATGAGAACAATGGCATACATAATTGTTCACATATGTAAATGTTTTATAAATGCATAAATTTGGCATTAATTGCTTTTTGAAGCCTTTATAATGTGAAATCTGCATTCAAAAAACTAGTGTTACCAGTTTTTCATTAGTGTGCAAAAGTCGGACTTGCTGTTATGTGAAGCCTTATTAAAATTAAATGGAACATCTCCCAAAAATGGAAATATCTAATTTTCCCAAAGTGCACCCAGGTCTGGTACATAGATTTCCAACTCCTACACCTTCCACCATCTGAACAAAGTAACCTGATATGGATTCCTGTCCGGCTTTGAGTTGTGTTTCTTTATGTTACAGCAACTCACTGAAATGTTGTAAGACTTTGTACATCAAGGTGCTCATCTCAAGGCTTGTCCAGTCCTCTCCTTTGCAGAATGTTCATTTGAAAAGCAGAACACTTAAGGTGCTGAAAGCATTGAAAATGTTGCAGTGCAGAGTTGAATGTTGAGCCGCCTGTTTGTATATTAAGTTTTTTTTTGTTTATTTAAAAACATGGACAAAACTCTACAGCAAAATACATTTGTGGATTCTTAATTGTCAGTTATGAGGTGCTCTGCATTAATGACAGAGTAACACACATGAACTCACAGAAACCTGTCATTGCCATGAGCGCCTCATTGACTGTTGCCTTGGGTAGACGCAGTAGAAGAACATGTCAATTCAGTTTGAAAAGAGGCAACAGTATCAGTGGTCCTGACATGGATGTGGGTGTTGGCTGGAATGGAACACAAAAACTCCAGGAGCCATCTCTCATAGCTTTTTGACTTCCCTAAGCTCTTGTTCCCTTTATCTGTCTTACAGTTCACCCGAGCTTTTGATCATGTATTTGGAAGAGAAGGAAATAAAAGATGTGCAATTTAAATAATGAAAACAGAAAAACTAAAAGGACTAATCGCACAAAGATTAATCCCTCCCAGGCTTTGCAAACTGCACACATTTGTTCAGACTGCAGCAGTGAAGCAGACCGGCAACGTTTATATCTTTAATCTCAGAATTTTGTTTTTACATTTACTTGAAATACTCAAATATCCTTTAAATATGCCACATTTGCTGTAAGTTTATATACTAAACTAAGTAAAAAAAAACTGTAGCATTGAGTAAAACAAATTCAGGTATTTAAAAATTTAGCCTTTGTTTGTGTCCCTGTGTTGTAAAGCTCGACTCCTGTTATGTCCCTACTCCAGCTCATTCGATTGACCTGGTGGACAAGGGGGAGTCAGGCCCCCCGCATTGACCTGGAAGACCCCTGGGCTCCGGTTTCGACCCCTGACCCCAGCAGGCCCTCTTTAGAGGACAAAGAGTCACCTCAGGGAACAGGTAAGAATGACATGCCCAAGAGTCAAATCCTGAGTGGCTCAACAGGGCTCACTTGGAGTCCAGGATGAGCTCTTTACCCAGACATCGCTGCTTTCTGCACAGCTCGCTATCCAACTGTGATTGGGATCTCTAAAGAGGTGACATACCCCGGTAGAAGATAATTAGGTAGGTGGGTGTTGTTGCTTTTTTGTGAATCCCAGCTTGTGGTTTGATACATTAGCAAAACCAACCTTGCATCATGGATAAATAGAGTTTTGAGTGCTTTCTGTTCATGTTGTTTTTATGTGGCTGAGTTGCTATCACACATGCACAGTGCTGTCAAAAAGTGTTAGCACCCCACCCCCCATACAATTGCAAATATTGTTGTTATAACCAGAATTTTTAATGCGTTACAATTATTTTTTTCCCTTGATTCACGCAACATATGTAACAATTTAAAGGAGCAAAAATATGTTTCATAAACATTTATGAAAAATGAAAATATTTTATTTACTAATGTATTCACTGCCCTGGGCTAATACTTGTTGAAGCACCTTTTGCAGCAAATACAGCTTTGAGTCTTCTTTGGTACTCTATCAGCTTTGTACATTTGGACTCACTCTTCCTTGTAGATATCCTCAAGCTCTGTTAAGTTAGATGGGGCATGTTAGTGAACTGCAATCTTCAAGTTATTCCACAGAATGGGATTCACATATGAGCTATGACTGGGCCACTCAAGGACATTCAACTTCTTGGTTTGAAGTCACTTCAGTGTTGCTTTGGCTGTATGCTTGAGGTCTTGTTGTTGTCCTGTTGGAATGTGAATCCTTGACCCTCTAGGGTGTTTTGGTGATTGAAGCAAATTCTTCTCAAGGATTTCCCTGTATTTGGTTCCATTCATTGTCCCCCCTATCCTGACAAGTGCCCCAGTCCCTGCTGCTGGAAAGCATCCCCATAATATGATGCTGGCACCATCATGCTTCAAGGTAGGAATGGAGGTTACACAGGTGATGAGCTGTATTCAGTTTGCATGAGGAATAGCACTTTGCACTCATGACAAAGAGTTCAGTTTTTGTTTCATCAGACCAGATGATCTTTTGCCACATGGTCTTGGGGTCTTTTATGTGCCAGGTGTGCTATTAGCTTCCATCTAGCTACTTTTTAATAGAAGCAAAATATGTGTAGTACTGCAGTGATCGTTGTCCTTGGACAGCTTTTCTGACCATAGCCATGGAACTCTCTAGTTTTGTCAGGGTGGATTTTTGGTCACTTCTCTGACCAAGGGCCTTTTTGCCGAGTTGCTCAGTCGGGAAGGCCTGCTTGCTCTAAGAAGAGTCTGGATGGTTCCATATTCTTTTTTCCATTTCCTTATGATGGACCTGCTCCTGAGAACTTTTAACACCCTAGATATACAGTATTTTTGTATCCCTAACCAGATCTATAGCTCCTCACATTTCAATCACAGAGTTGTACTGACTGAGCTGCTTGGTCTTCATGGTAGAGTTTCTGCTCTGACATGTACTGTCAACTTATTTACCTTATATAGACAGATTTCCTCTGACATTGTCACCAATAGAACGGAACACAGGTAGACTTCATTAAAATTTTAGAGTGATCTCAATTGGAGATAACTTGGGCACAGTTTGGAGTGTCATAGGAGAATGATCGAATATTTACCTAGACTTCTCAGTGTTTTCTTTCAAAATACATGTTAAAAATCCAGAACTTTCATTCCAGTTTGACAGTATAAAGTTGTATGAGTAGATGAATAACAAAAAAAAAATCATATAAATGTATTCCTATTTCATTTTGAGACACAAATTGTGAAATAATCCACAAGTCGGTGAATACTTTCTGAAAGCTCTGTAGTGTCTCAAAATGGCTGCACTGGATACGCATGAAACATTGACAAACACGTGCCCACGTAATGGTATTGAAGTGAATGTTATGAGCAAGGTGGGTATATGAGATCTATTTACTGTAAGTATATAGTAAGGCTTGCAATTGTTTTATTTTTAATAAATTCATTTATATCTATGATTTAGATAAATAGCTGAAAACATCATTAAAGGAAATGTTGGGGGTAGACGTTCCTGATGTTAATGGTAGAATAGTGGGGATATCTTTGTCTTGCTTCAAACCCTTTGGCTAATCATGTTGGCCTTTTCTGTTGCTCTTGACAGCAGACGTGTCGTGCTGGAAGAGAGTGGGCCTGTGGTTCTGTGGCCTATCCAGTAGTCAGGCCAAACCCCAGGTGAGCCTGGATGAGAGACAGGTCCTGGAAAAGAAGCTTACCAGTATCAGGGAGGACCCTGTCTGGAGAAATGTCTGCAATGTCAATGCCATCATCCTATTGACTGTTAATGTCTTCCTGTGGGGATACTTTGCCTGACCATCGCCAACATCCCAGCACTCCAAAAAACAGAGAACTTTATGTCTTGACTAACTTTTTCTGCTTACAGTATGCAAAACATTGTTTTTCTGTTCAAAAGAACAATGCAGAGCTGTGTCAGTTTGGACTTTATAACAGAATTGTGATGAGTCAGACATGAACCTTGTCATGCTTCACTGGACAAGTCCAAACATGAGCCCTATCCAGCAGTTTGTCCCAAACTGACATTCCTCTGACATTATACTACTGAATGTTTCCTCTCCTTTAATTTACAGTGTTTTTTTTCATTGAGAAACATATTAAATCCACATTTATATGTGGAGTTTTTAGATTTTTGTTGGTACTCTGAAAACAGAATTACTCAATCTACAGTGCCCCAAAGGTATTACTGCAATGAAATGTGTAAACCGAATATTTAAAGCAGTAAATGTATGCAGAATACATTAAAACTGTAACTTGCTGTTCTTCATTTGTCTGGCCTGCCTTATTTGTATGGCCTGCTATTGTTTTGCATCTAATGAAAACTCACCAAATTCAGAAAAGGAATAGAAGATTTGAGAAAAAATGAGTAGCAAAGTTTTTAGAATTTTAGAACACGAAAAGGTTTTAAAATTTGTCAGAGATCACAGGGAACCTTGTTTGGTTAATATTCCAGTTGCCTTTATCTTCTTTTACAAAACATTCCCAAATTTTGTGTTATCCTGAAGCGCTTCAATTTTTTTTGGAATAGTCATGTCTCTGGCACAGGTACCCTCGACAAACATGGAGAAAATTCTAGATTGTTATAGAAAATAACAAAAACAATATATAGTACAGATTAAACATATTTTGATTACATACTGCTGATTTATCAATCAGATATGAATTAAACATTTTAAACATTTACAAAGAAATAGCAAAGTATTTTCAAAGTTCGTAAAAATGTAGTTTTTACAGCTGAATTGTATTAGAATGAACAGTAGATGGCATCATTGTCCTAAGTTTCATATTTGTTTCATTAGCACCGTATTAAAGGAAGAGGTTATTCTCGATATTGACTTTTTAATTAAAAAAATATATATATTTTAAATTATGTTCCTGTTCTTTAATAAAAACTTCCCAGGGTAATTCCTTTTGATACCAAATAAAATGCTTTTTTAACTGTATGAGTTAAATTGCAACCAATCCTGGAATTCATTGCATTTAATTTACAAAACCTCGTTAATATGTGAACTCCTTAATTGAAACACATTAAAGGACCAAATGATCCAGACTGGCTCCCATCTTAGTCATCATCTGTGATCCCTCTGCCTCACCAGATTCATACTGGGATCACTGGAACATCAGATGCAGGAATAAAGGTCAATTTATTGACAAGTTAGGGCTAATTTCTTTGTGAGCCTTTTCCACCTATATTGAAAATCAAGATGTTATACCAAACAAAATCATTTATGGCTTTAAAGAGTCTGACTAATAAATATTATTTTTGACATTTTAGCAACAAAAATCACCAATACTGATATGATAATTACGAAGCATGTAATTAAAGAGAAAAGAAAGTATAATATTTAATGCAAAATATCAAAGAAAATTGAAAACACATGCTTCTATATATTCTGTAAACTCCTATGTATTTATCTGCCCAAGCCTAGAAGAGATTCAGATAAGGGTCATGTAGAAAATATGTGCAAGTGCTTTGCTCTGTAAGAATGGAACACTGGATTAAAGTTAACGTATATTTCTTTTTCATATTGTAACGCTTACGGCCGACAGGCGCTGTGTAAGAGCCGGCGTACCAGAGCGGGTGACGTCACCGCCCTTCCCTGTGATAGCAGGACCACAGCTACTGGGCTGTGGAGAGATCTCTCTTTGGCTCACGGGGCTAGGTCGCTGCAGAGAGACGCGGAAGTCCCGGGTTCGAGCCCCCAGTCGGGATGGGGCCGACCAGATGCGGCAAGGGCGCCCGCCTGAGCCCCCGTTGCGTTACAATATGAACAACTCTTATAGAGTCAAAGTCCCCTGTTTCGATGTGTTAAGGCTGTTGTGCCGTTATTATTAAGGTTATTGCAGAAGTTTTCTATTGTGTTCAATTTTTCTATCACCTACCTGAGGAATAGGACCCAGCTGCTGATTCAACCAGGTTATTAAAAAAGATCTGATGAGAGTTAGACAAACAGTTGGCTGTCCTGTATCACATAGCCTTCCAACACCATGTAAGAACCATATCTAGAGGTTAACAAGAGAGACTGGGATGCCTTGGGGACATCATCTGTGATTTCAATGGAAATACTTTAAAAATGGGGAAGAAAATACAAAAAATTTGCAATGCACTTATTTGCGCCTTTAGTAACATTTGAGACTCATTATGAAAAATTGATCTAAGTGATATTCGTAAGTGTCAATTAAAGGCAAAAGCTTTAATTTGAAGCTTCCCTGACATTAGTGGAAGTGTAGGTCTCATGTTGACATTAAGTAAGATCTCACACAGAATAACCCAAAATCTCAGATATTAGTGTAATGATCTGGTAGTAGAGAAACACAGGACAGTTCTGGACCTTATATAGCGCTTTTCTGGACACTCCACTCAAAGCGCTTTACAGGTAATGGGGACTCCCCTCCACCACCACCAATGTGCAGCATCCACCTGGATGAAGCGACGGCAGCCATAGTGCGCCAGAACGCTCACCACACATCAGCTATCAGTGGGGAGGAGAGCAGAGTAATGAAGCCATTTCATAGATGGGGATTATTAGGAGGCCATGATTGGTAAGGGCCAGTGGGAAATTTGGCCAGGACAACTCTTTTCGAGAAACGCCCTGGGATTTTTAATGATCACAGAGTCAGGACCTCGGTTTTACGTCTCATCCAAAGGACGGCACCTGTTTACAGTATAGTGTCCCCATCACTATACTGGGGCATTAGGACCCACATGGACCACAGGGTGAGCGCCCCCTGCTGGCCCCACTAACACCTCTTCCAGCAGCAACCTTAGTTTTTCCCAGGAGGTCTCCCATCCAGGTACTGACCAGGCTCACACCTGCTTAGCTTCAGTGGGTTGCCAGCGGCCATATCCAGTTGTGAGTTGCAGGGTGATATGGCCGCTCTTATGATCTAAGATGGGGAAATAATCATTTTGTAATTAAAAGTTAAGGGTTGTAAAATAGAGTTGAAAGATTTGATAGGTGACTTTTCTCTTGACTGCACCATTTTAATCAAATTAATTTTTCCCTACATTACTATCAAAAATGAAAATTGCCCCCAGATGTTCCTACAACATCTCACTGAGATGGCACAGCTGCCATTGGTAAGGTGTGAATCGCTCAGGGTTGACCTGGCTTGATAGGACCAGTGATAACTCTGCTGGAGGCACTTTGGTACACACACCGTGGGAAATGGTAGAGTTACTGTGCTCTTTCCTGCAGCACTGGTGGCAAAACCTGGGCTATCTAAAGAAAAACAAAAGGCTCATATCATTCCTTTGTTGGCCTCACTGCATTGACCGCTGATACGTTACAGGATTGATTTTACATTTTTTCTACTAACATAAAAAGCACTTACTGAACAGAACCTTGGTTATTGAAGACCATACCAGCCTACACTTTCACTGCGACCTGAGAGAGTGTTGAAAACATTGCCATGATTTTCATGGGCCCTCGCTGACTAATTTTAAATTCAAATGTAGCTCAGATTTGTGGAAAACACAAACTGACTGTATTTCGAATGTGATATAGTAGTTTGTTGCTCTAATTATTCTATCATTGTAAATGGTTCTTTTATTTTTCTCTTTATTTGAAATGTGCCAGCTTTGAGCTGCTTTTAACAGCTCAGGTTTTCAGTGAGAGATGCTATACATATGAAATTTATTATTATACAGTATGTGATAAGAACAGAATAAGATGGAAGCCTTACTGAAGCTGGCAGATGAAATTAATAAATTGGTTTTGGTGGTGATCTAATATGCAGAGTAAAAGACAGGGATCTGCAAATGAACCTTAGAGAAGGGGTATCCAATCCTGGTCTTGGGGACCACAGTCCTGCTGGTTGTTCATTGCAGCTGAGCTCTTTAGTCCTTAATTGGTCCAACTGAGTCAAAGTCCTTAATTGGTCGAACTAGTTGCTTGGTCAGAACCTGTACACTTCCACTCAAAGGTTGAAGATGTTAAAGAAATCTTTATCCAGTTTTAGTCTTAAAAGGGATGGTGATGGACAATGATTTACATATATTTAACAAAACAAATACTTCCTAAAAGAAACTTTTACAAATTTAATGATGTCTTAATTTTTATAGTTTATAGTTTTTGCCTTATTTTTATGTATAGACTACATATTATTTTTATATTTAACTAAAATAAAGGAAAAGAGAAAAGGGGTTCTGTGTCTTTAAATCAGAGTATTCAGGCAGTTCCCAGCCTTAGCAGTGGGGTGGCGCTGTCTTGCAAGGCCTGTTGAAACATTGTTTTTCCAAACAGATTGTGGAAAGGAACTTGCCAGCCAAGTCTAACCAGCAGTGCAAACAGGTGAGTAATTACCCCCTTTTCATCTTTCTAAATTTTGAAAGATATGTGCAACATATGTGAAAAGAAGATATTCAGGTTTTTGTAGTGGCTTCTTTTCTTCATCACTTTATAGTTATAAAGCTGTTTATGTGCTGTGAGTTAGTACAATGATTTAGTTTGTGTTTGTGTAGACAAGATGTAGATATTTGTCACATCATTCTTGCAATCTAACTAGAAAACACTGCTACAAAGCACGGGAATGTTCCCTTGTACAGGAAAAAAAATCAAATCATGTCTGAAGGTTGCTTGGGCCTAACTTAATTGTGAGTTCACTCAAGTTCTCTAAATTATTTTAGTTTCTTAAAGGACAGATGCAAAGCAATTGGTTAAGGTCTTCCACTGGAACAGCTCTGTGTCTCCAGTCTGGCAGTCTTAATAAGATTTATTCTTGGAAGTATTTGATAAGTGTGTTCTCAGCGGGTTTTAAAACCTAAAATGGAAACAAATGCCACTATAAAAACGTGCATTTAAAATGCTTTAAAGAATTTAGGAAATTTGTAGAATTATTTCTAAAGCATATGAAAGTTTACTAATGTCTAGATAGTTTGTATTTTAGCAGCTAATTGATCCAAAGATCAAAACCACTTTGCAGCCTTTGCTTTACTTTACAAGATATAAATGAGTCTCCTGTGGTACCTTTCACTAATTTGTTGACAGTCTTTCAGGACCTATTAGCTCAAAGGTTTTTAAAAGAATATAAAATATAATTGTTACAAAACTTCAATAGTTAATTACTTCATATTTGCTCGGCAGAATCCCATCATAAGACACAAATAATGTCTCTGGACAAATATTTGACAGACATGCCCTATTTCAATTCTACAGGCTAGGTGACAGAAATAGTTATAAGACAAACCTAATAAGCATTCATGTGAAACAAAAATAGAAAGACAAGATTAAAAAGATTGAAAACTCAGCTTTGGATTCCTCAGAATTGGAAGAAAAGAGCAGAGTGAAGTGCTCAAATATTGCTGAAATATAAGTAATTAGAGAATTTGTCTTTAAGAGGCACACATGAAATGGTTCAGTTGGCTCTGCATGCCTCCTCCTGGAAAAATCACTGTGTTGTTGGGAGCAATTATCTGCTTGTGGGGGACTGGGTATACAGGCGGGGAGGTTGTAGAATGCTTCAGGGTCCCTACTGCTATAATCCAGACCCCCTCTGGCATATTTACAGGTCATGAAGGGAGAGGGGTCTGTCAGTGAGTAGGTCAGTATTCAGCACAGAGCTCTCAGCTCTCACAACTCGCAATACCATGAGTAGGATTCTCACTCAGTCACCGCTGCGATGAGGACTTAATTCCAAATCTCCACATGTCACAAATACGAAGAACACATTTCCACAAATAGGAGCTGGCTGCCTCATGCCTGAGTAATCCAAGCACAGAGAAAGGAGCACACCACAACAGGGGGCATAGCAGTTTTATTCAGTAGCTCAGAGACACTCATCCTGGATCCTGAAGAGCTGCGTTTATTTCTGACTTCTGTTGTATTCCATACCATAAGAAGCCATCTATCCAGACATTCATTTTCTAACCTTTTCTTCCCATCTGGGTCAGGGTAGAGCTAGAGCCTGTCCTGGCAAGCTAGAGGTGCAAGGCAGGGTACACCCTGGCTGGGACGCCAGTCCATTGTAGGATGGACACAGTCACAAACACGCACACTCCAGGGCCAGTTTTCCCAGAAGCCAGTTAACCTACAATATGTTTTTGAACTGTGGGAGGAAAACTGACGAGAATGTAGGGAGAACATGCGAACCCCAGATATGGAATTGAACCAAGGGGTCAATTGCTGTGAGGCAGCAATGCTAACCCCTGTGCCACCATGCTGCCCTATAAGAAATTAAGTGACTCAAATAATGTGCATAATTGATCTAAACATTTTAGGTAATGTTTTACCACGGTTAGCCATTTTTGCTGTAGATCCCAATATAAAGGGACATTTTTGATCCCAAGAAGACTGAAAGTGGTGATAACCTTGGTACAGGCAACCTTGGCCCTGAGGCTTACATTCAATTACAGATTGAATCAGGCTGGTTATATCTAATATTTGTTTTCTAGATAGCTAAGCTGTGTGGGTCCTGGAAAAATGTAATTTAACCATCTGTTCCTCTTGAAGGTTTCAAGCACATTATGCACTCTGTAGGAGTGGGTTCTTTTTTTTTCTTTTGAAAATTATTTGAAAAGCAAAAAAAAAGATTCAAAATCTTTGCCTGTTGAGGTTGAAAAAATTGGGGTCCACTCAACTGAGTCATCCTATTGATTCCAGCACAAGCCTGCCTGCCTTCGCACTAATTGGTAAGAAAGCATGTAACTAAGTTTGTGATGGATGATTAATACAGTAGACCTGAGCAGAGGCAGTGATTTTTGGAAAGATAATTAGACCAGTGTAATGAAGATCAAGGCAGCGTGGGGTTGGAAAGCTTGGATCTTCTCTTGAAAGTACTGTTGCTCAGTGTGTTTATAACTGCTCTGCAGAGAAAAAAGAGTAGTATATTTAGAAAATCAACTAATATAATAAGCGCATTCTACAAATGGTCAGGAATAGTTAAAGAATAACAATTGCTGTTGTTCCTTCATCATCTGTGCTGACTACATTACCTCAGTTTCAGAAGAACTAAGACTCATAGCCGTGGTTTCTAAATTGTAACATTTTCTTCTGATAGTTCTGCTCTCCTTTGAGATGGAAGAATCTTGCTCAGAATTGTGTTAACAGAGAAATTGATCTCCCTTGCAGGTTTATGCTAAAAGGCAACTACATTTTCTTGTAAATCAACCAGACATTACTTCAGCATTTGTCTAAGGGTAATGTGAAAATACATATAAATGAAAGGTCAAAATTTCAATACATTAAATAAATAGGATTAGTCTGAGAAGAAAAAAAGTTCAGTGTTGGACAGAGCATAGTAGAACTAATATTTAAGTTAATGAGCATTCATTAGTAATTAAAGTTTCATTGTTTTTGTGTATTTTGTTCTCTTATGCTTGTAGATGACATCGTAAGGGCTGGCTTGTTTAATAAGGAGCTGTAAGTTGATATAGAGCAACAACAGAGAAGTTAATTACAGTATGTTTACCGTTAGGTCATATTTCTGTACTGTACACACAAGTCTTTAAGACAGAAGGAAAACAAAAACTCAAAGCAAAGAAAAAATAACCTAAAATGTAACCACAGGCAACAAATAATTAATTTTTATAATTTCCCAGTGCACTTGTGTCCTGTCCAGGGTGCATCCTGCTTTGCACCTGTTGATTCCTGGGATAGGCTCTGGTTCCCCCTGTCTCAGAGATACCCTGATTTGTGATGTTCACTTAAACTAATGCAAAAGATAAAATCTTTGATGGGTGGAAACAACCTCTTACAAAGTTTCTTTGGAGTGACTCAAAACATTTTCCTTTAGTCTTCTTTGCTTAGCCCCTTTTTCATGATGTAATCACAAAGAACTGAAGGGTGCTTGCCTTGCCTTTTAATGCTCCACTTTTCTCAAGTCAGGCAGTATTAATTTACACTGTGGCCTCCAGACTATTAGCTGCCCAAGCATGTCTGCTGTCATGGCAGTGACTTCGAGACACAATATCTCTCAAAACCTGCCAAAGTCAATATGTTACCTTACTGTGTCCACCGCATGGAGATATGAAGGGGAACTAACTTTATAAGGTTTAACGTTTCGATCCTCAGGGTTTGCATTTTTCTTTTTTGCCTTCCACATGTTGATTCCAATTCTGGTCTTTGAGCTGATCTGGTTCTGGAGCTTCCACCACAGTTTTTTCCTGATGGGCCTTTGGCAGTTTCTCACACATGGGTAAGCATGGGAGGACGTCAGATAACCAGCCATCACATTGATTTGGTTTGTTTTTCTTTATACTTTGGGATGACAAGTCTCTGTGCTCTGAATTCATCTAGGGCACATTTTCTGACTGCTTTTATCTGGGCCACCAAAATAGGTTTCTTCACAGACCTCAGGTTTCCTTGCACAAATCCTGCTGTCAAAGCACGGGAACACTGTTACTTCTACCATACAATTTACACTCAGGACACTCCTTAATTATTTGCTAGTTCCGCCCAGCAGGGAGTTTTTCTTTTTAAACAGAAGGCAATCAGTGTTCGTTTTCCTTAAATGGACCACATAATGAACCCCCTTTCTCATTAATGCAAATGTTCTTTGAAAGAAAATGGATTCAAATCAAGAGGATTCTTATTCTCAACAAACCAAAATGTTACAGGCTCTAGGACTGATCTATACATGCACAGTTTTATAAAACATGTTTACAGACTATCCTTGCAAAGGGATTTTAGATCATTTAAAGAGTGCTTGGGGTTCAAAGCTGATCTTTATTTCCCTTGATTTCATTGCATTCATCTGAAACTACATTGAAAGAAGGTGGTTGGCGCTGTAATGGATTGGATTTTATTATTCAGGCACGTATTACAGAGCAATTTAATCCATTCAAAATATAATCACAGAAGAAACATGGTCAAAAAGTGAACAAAATCTTTTCTTTCTATTCCCTCTGCTCATAGCTAGTTGTGTGCAAGGTGATCGCATTTGCAGTAGTAGTAACACTGTTAGCACTGTGAAAGAGTTGTCATAGCAACCTGTGATTTTTTTTTTGGGGGGTGATGGAACGTTGACAGAAGTTGTTTGTTTTTTAGTGTGTCTCCTAACCTTTTCATCTTCGTTTACTCCTAAAGATCAGTGTTGAGGCAAATTTGTAATGACAAGCACTAGTGAAAGCCACACATTACTCTTATCTTCATGTTTTATTTTAATAATTGTGACTGAATTTGTAATTAACTCATTGATTTGGTTATTGTTAAATCAGAGGTTTCTTTTTAAAATGCAAAAGAGCACAACTAACTGGAGGTGTCGGTGGCAAGACGTAAACAACAGCTGAACATTGTTATGAAAAATAATTGTCATGTTCTTCTCATTTAAACTTCTGCCGTTCCATGATTATCTAGTGTTTTGTTTTTTTTCCTACATAAATCACCTTTGAGTCTTTTGTGCATTTGAAACTACATACTGAAAGCTCACAGATGTGTAAATATTAAATTCAATATGTCACCTTTGCCTTGTGCACACTATTACTATTAATACACTTACATTGATACACTGGAGTAAAACTGCAGTGTAAAGGAGTACTGGACCTTCTGTTCTGCATTGACATGAGTTTAGAAGGTTCAAATGTTATTCAGCTTTTAGGTTGCACAAATTTGATGTATGATGACCTAATCATTCTCTTGTATATTATGAAATGCATACAAATCAATGAATAATGTATTTCCCCAACTACTTCAAGCTTTTAAGTGTTTTTCATATGCCAAAAGGTTAATAGTTTTTCTTGTTGAGCAAAACTGTGATTAAAATCCCTTTCCCACGACTCTTTTTTTTCTGGTTTGTTCAATTACCTTGTGACCTTACACATAAATTCAAGCAATTATTTGCAAGATCAGATGGACTGTTTTCCAACTCATCTTAACAACTAGTGCTTGAAACTGAGGTCTGCATTCACCCTGTGTATTTTAATAAGCAACAGTTGTATTTACATAGCTATTGTTTCTTAGTCACCCTTGACAGACAGACTGGCCTTCTGAGGCTCTGAACTGGAAAATGGTTGTTGCCCAGAGGGCGGTTTGGGTCCTTTGGTCTATGGGTTTCTGTTTTGAGTCTGGGCAGAGTGGTGCTTGGGAGTGGCTCACAAAAACATCCTTCAGTATTCCCTCAAAAAAAATGTAAACCCCAAGGATACTGAAAACAAACCCATTATGAATTCTTGCAACAGTTCCTGCAGGATGCTTTTAGAAATTTCACAGAAAGAAACAAAGGTTACTGAAAAAGTCCTGAATGATACTTTTAAGCAACTGTTGGCTCCCAAAGCTGCCAGAATGTTTACTTGTACCTCATAGAATTTGTGGCAGGAAGATTGAGTTTTTGTAGTCCAGTAAAATACGATATACTGTAGAAGCTAAAATGTAACAGACAAAGAACACATTGTGGGACATGCATCTTTTCACAAAGAATAACACTTTCAGAAAACTGCATTTCCGAGTGTTCATTGAGGAATTGCATATACCACGCTTTGGCTTAACCAATTTGGCTGAGGACCAGCCTCAGGCCGTTCTTGTAGGTCAGGAAAGTTTTGACTCCCAAAAGACCTCATAATACCAGTGCGGAGCTAAGGCTTAACATGTAATATGCTTTACATTATGTTTTGGAAATTTGAATTAAGTGGGTGAGTAACCTGATATATGAGCAACACAAATTATGAATTGGTTGCAGATGATGGGTGAAGTGTCTCAGATGGTTCATAATATGTGAAGATTCACACTTCATAGTGTGAGGCTTTGGAGTGTCCTTATTGACAATGTGAATGAGCAGTGTTTTTTAATTGCTCTGAGTGGAACCCCAAAAGAGTAGCGGTGATTATGTATTATACAGTAGTTCACAAACCCTGCAGAGGAATTGGGAAAGGGGGTGTGACAGAATCTGTGCAGCCGGGGACTGCAAGCATTTTTCACTGTAGGACACCCAAAACCTATATAGAGATTGTGAAATTGTATTTGTTTCAAACAAGCTGTAGGTTAGGGTCAGCAGCCATTAGTTCAAAGGCATTTTCCATGTTAACTTTATGACCTAGACACTTTGGCTTGCTTCTATGGTCAATTATATGGCGTGCTAAAGGGTTGCATAAGCCAGATAATACTGTGTGTGTCCAGAATAGCTCTCTGGAGGAAGAGATGAAGAAATTCCACATCCAATGAAATTAAAGTTTAAAAGGCTTTGACACCAATCTAAGAAGATGATGAAATGACCTCAGGTATCCCATGACCTGCAAGAGATATGGGGTTCAGAAAGAAAGAAGTGAGGAGCAACAAATGAGAAAGGTTAAGGGCAATGAAGCAGAATTGTTGGATATAGGAAAGTGTGAGAGCAAGAGTTCCAAATAATGCAGGTAATGGGGAATAAGCCAGCACACTGACGGCACTAGAAACTGGGATTTAGTGCTCTGCAATGGAAACAATGGTTCTACTGCTAAAGGAGGTCTATGTCCTGAGACGAAAACTGGTGGAGCTTCCAAAGAGAGGGGCAAGGTCAAGATTGAATGGATGCGGTTAAGGCAGAAATGCTGAGATGTCTGCAAACAGAAATTGTGGGGCAAAGATTGTGAGATACTTGTACAGTAGATTAGGTGTCCAGAGTCCTTAGTGTGACAGAGATGGAGCCACAGTCTATGGTTCTGGGGTAAGAAGGTTTGCTTCTGTTGAGGAGACCAGAGCCCAAGGTAATATCCACATTGCATATTATTCGTTAAAGAATGCAGGGGGATATAGACCCTAGAGCAAGAAATAGCTCTAGGTGAGATGGGAGTGTGAAACTGGAGAAAGGAAAGGCACCACAGAAGGACCTTGTATCCAAAGTGAAATGGTCTTAGCATTAGATCTTAGCAGCATGAGGTTTAATGCACGCAGCATCTGTGGAAAGACAAAAACAAGCCAAAGAGATAAATGAGAGAGGCTAACTATGTATTTAAAGTTTTTCAGGAAATAAAGTAATGGAAAGTTACGAGTTTGAGAAGCAGAGGTGAGTAAGACCTTGGTCTGAAGTTTTATTATAAACTCCATTAAGAAATCAGTTGACAAGATAGTACAGATAACATTAGCCATACTTTTAACCTATATGGGTGAGGATTTGTAAAGATTTGTTTGGATATGGACATTAACTGAGTAACACTGTGGGAGTTGGAGGAGCCGCAGGAAGCACCAATATTTGTTGACGCACCAACAGAGGGACTGAGGCACTGGTGCGAGGTTAGGGAGAACCAGAAATTACACAAAAAAGGGGAAAAACAAGAACAAAAAGGAAAAAGAAAAATGTGCCGCTGTGCACCAAAAAACTTCCAGGCTGGACTTACCCTTTCTAACAGGGACCAGCCTGGGAAAAAACAAAGGCTAAACACAGCAGTAACCAGACTGGGCTTACCCTATTTAACAGGGTCCAGTCTGGAAGAGCAGGGAACGCAAAGCCAAAACAAAATAAAAACTTGATGTGTGAAAAAGGACAGCCTGCCCTGGTAGAGATACATGATGGGACAGGCAGAAAGAAAGAGAAACTAAAAAGAAGAAAAACGATGGCCTTACATTCAGGTACTACTCCTCTGGGACTGTTGGTGGAAGTTCCTCCCCTTCTGGGGTTGCCCTGCTTGTCCCTTCAGGGGGTGTTCAGTGTGTTTTTAAAGAGCCCTCACAGATGTGGCTTATCCAACTTGTCGCCTTTCATCCAGGGCTCTGCCCCCACTCTGAACATTCCCCCCCGTGATTCAATATATATCATTCAATATGTTTTTGTTTTATACAACCTACTTCACTGTGCCTTATTTAAAACCAAAACAAGGTTACAAATGAGAGGACATCTTTCAGTCAAATCAATCAGTTTGGTTGCTTGTAGCTTATAGCATCTTTTCCAGACATTTCTTGAAGGGTCCCAGGGAATCATCTTCAACAAAATGGCTTGTCAGATTGTTCCAGACACACATCAATCTTGGAGTAAGTTATAAAAAAAATCAACACTTTTCTCTATTCAAAGCTAGCCTCACCTTAGCACAATGAGGCAAATGGTTATTTGAACATCACAAGTCATCTTATGTGGCTCCTTGATATACTATTCTAATTGAATACTTTTTCAGGTAATTAAAATGATTTTTTTCTTAAATTCAACTTAGCATATCCTTCACACAATACTGAGACAGCAGTCAGCTCAAACGCATTTATCAGATTATGCAAAGAAAACACCTGCCTCATAGCTTGCAGTTCTCTAATTAAGAATTTGTGCGATCTTTCGAGAAATAATTTACACTGAAAATAAGAAAGGGTGACATCATTCTTTAACCTCCTAATTGGAAATTGAGTCTCTATATACACCACTTTATTTGCGTACAGTATATAAGAAAATTGTGATAAGAGCGATAGGGTATATAGTCTCCCTTTTCATACTTCACATAAGCAAACTTAATCTTTAAAGATCTGGCGCTTGATGAATGCCAGTTTTACAACTCTCTCAAGCAGTACTGTATTGTATATCCTCTAGTTCTGCTTGCTAATCATAATTAAGAGTAGATGTGTATCTTAATCTGTATTCTGGTTAGATAAAAATATGATCTGTTAGTGACCTATGCAGAAATCGGGTCTGCAGCTTGGAGCACAGCAGTAAGATGTTGGGACAGAATTAATTGAAATGGAGATAATGTCAGTGCAGTCTGAAGGTACTGTATATGTAGACATGCTTATATGATTTCCACATGTGTACTCTTTTTTTGTACTGTACATTTGTAGGTTCATGAATAAAAATAAGGCCACCTTCACTGACTATTTGACATCTGATGACAGAAGGGAATTCTTAGAGAAGGCTGAGTTTCGCTTTCTTCAGGTAAAGTATTGGATAAGCCAGTAGTTTAGGGTTGATTGTGTATGCCACAATTTATTTTTGTTTTTTTCAGTAAATGTAGAATCCATTGAATTATGGAGCTAGGAGAGTGAAACCTAGACTTATTCATATAGTGCTAAAGAAATAGTCAGTTTTAGCTTGAACTGGTGTCCCGCACATCTGCTGCATGGCTTCTACCTCTCCTTGCAGCTCAGCAGCTGAAAGGTTTCTCTTTCAGCCTCCTGTGCTGTTTCCCAGGAAAGTAGTGTGTCCTCTGCAAGACTCAAGACGCAGCAATTCTTTTTGGTTTCGTTTTTTAACCAGCATTTTTGTTTTATTTGTAAAGTGCTGCACTAGCAGAGAACACTGGTGTTTGCTCTGGCTGTTGTTGGTTACGCCTGTCATGAGCATTCTTGGTCATCAGTTTGCCATGGCATGTATTGCCTCACTCAAACCGACGGCAATGTTAGGAATTTCACTTTGCACAAATCCGCAGGTGCTAATTATCACCACTCTCACTTCAGAGTATTACTATTCAGATATCAGGCTAGCGGGCCTTAGGGCAGAGCAGTGGCTCTGTGGCTAAGGATCTGTGCCTGTAGCTGGAAGGTTGCAGGTTTAAATCCCATGGCTGGCAGAGGAATTTTACTCCCTACTCCCTACTCCCTTAACACCAGCTGCTCCAGGGGTGCTGTACAATGGCTGACCCTGCACTCTGACCCCAAGCTTCTCTCCCTGTCAGCGTGTCTTTGTGTCTCACGGGGAGCAAGCTGTGGTATACGAAAAGACAAATTCCTAATGCAAAAAATTGTATATGGCTAATAAAGTTATCTTATCTAGTTTACCTGATAGTCTCTATTGAAATCCCTTTATTTCCTTCTAAAGGTAGATACAGTATGTCACCGGCCAAGTGACCAGGTTTGGCTCAAAAGAAAAGAAACTCCCACACAGCAGTCTTCAAATGCAAACAAAACTGGATTTTTTGCCATCAAAATAGGGATAACAAAAAAACCCTCACAGGAGTCCTCTCCACACCTTTCCTCCAAGGCACCCTCCTCCATACTGAGCTCTCCCAGTCCCTTTTATAGCCCCTCCTCTTGTAAGGACCATCCTCTTAAAGGGACTCGCTCGCATTTTCTTAACAGAGATAGGAAGTTTGACCAAAATAAAGTATTTAACCATCCCAAAAAAACTTATAAATTTTAACAGAGTCATGCAACCATGATATATTCACTTAAACAAAACAACTAACCTTACATCGGTTATTTATAGATGGCTCACCAGTAGCCTTTCCCTTTAAGATCAGCAGTGTTTTTAGTACTGCTGATGTGGCAGTGTGGGGAACTACAAACTACAAACAGGAAAGGTGACTGGTGGCCATCTTGAGCAACAAAATACAATACTATGCTCCAACAGGGAAAACACTGTAGTGATTTTAGGGAAACAACAAAAAGGGTTAGTATCATTCACACTTCATTCGTATCACATACATACTCTCATACATACCAGAAGGGTAGAGGGAAATATTGGAGTACTTCACATTCAGCAAAAGAAAGAAAAAATAACAAGCACTCTGTCACACAGTATAAAAACACAATAGTATTTTTTTTGCATCAGTGGATCAGTGGGTGGTGCTCTTCCGTCTGGACCAGAGTTTCTGAATCAATGCCCCAGTACGGTGTTTGGAGACACTGTGATGTAGGAAGTGCTATACTTCAAATTACATATTAAGGCACAGCCCTGACTGCTTGGTTAGGTTATCTTAACAATGGTCTCCTGGCTGAATTCCACTTTAGGCTTTTACACTCTGGCCTCCCTAAAGTTCAACCTTAATTCAATTGGTGAAGTAATTCTTACATCTCCACCTGATCTGCTGTGTAGTGGAGCCCCATATATGTAAATTTCTGTGTGAGTTTTTTGGGTAAAAAGAATTATGTAAAGGATGTTAATTTTTACAGTAATTGCCTTTTGCTTCAGAGTGTGATTAGCTCCTAGTTTTCAGAAGGTTTTTGAAGTTTGAATGTTCATATTTAGAAAGCTTATATGCAAATATGCTTTTTTGCTTTCATTTAAGCAAAACAAAGAAAATTGAAGCTGGTGTTCATCTGTACATGGAAAATATTAACTAAACAATGTACTATGAAGCTCCTACACAATGCGGTTTCAGCTGTCAACAGAATATTAAGTGCATATTCTTGTATGTAAATTTACAGTTGCCCTACCAGCAAGATAGTAGTTCAGCTTTTATTATCCCCAGCTGGAATTCAATATCTTTATTTATGGGTGCTATGCTCTTGATAAAAGAAGAGACGGCATCACTCTAGAGTAGTTTATCTAGAATACTGTAACTATATAGAGACAATAATGAAACTAGCCAGCAAGCCTTTGGAATGTGGAAGGAGAAAAGTATCTAAAAACAAACGCACATAAGGCGCCTCAGTCTGGTTTTCAACCTCCTGAAAAACTTTGCAAAACAGATGGTACACATTCATACTATGCTTTGCATATATATGTAGGATGAAATTGTCTAACTGAAGAAAGGCCCTACTCATACAACTCTCAGATATGTGATCTCTATATATCCTGTTTGACCAATGAACTATCACCTTTCAGACACCAACTGAGGATCATCTCAAAATATTGTAGATATTAAAATAGGCTTTTTCCCCTCTGTTAAATGGAGAAGAAGCAATAACTTTTTAGAACTTTCAATGTTTTCTGTGTAGTTCAGAATGCATGAAAAGACTCTATCCTTCATCTATGTAAAGATCCTAGAATTTTCAGATAAGGAGTTGTTAATTTGGAACACCAGTAAAATACTGAGAGATACTTTATCTTTACTTCATATTTTAATTGGAGCTATGTCAAGCTTCCTTCTGTGCAGGTGTCAAGACCAAAGGCATGGTTTCAATACCGATGCAGCAATTAGGCGAGATTTACATTCTCTCTCGAAATGTAACACAACATGTGGTCTTTTCCTTCAGCTGGAAAGTCTTTCCAACTTGGAATGCATTAGCAACATATTCAGAGGCAGCCCACTCTTCAAACTGTTTTGTTTATGAAGAACATGTTATGAGTATTAATTTAAAATGTTCTCTAACCTAATTTGGGTCTTAGCCTTTCTAGGAGAAACATAAA